TAGCAGTGCTGTCCTGCGGCTGGCTGGAGCTGGAGAGGTAGTCCTGTGTGTCTCGGCTGTGACTGGGTTGACTCTGATCTGTGGTGTTGTAGCAGCGCTGTCCTGCGGCTGGCTGGCATCAGTGTCGCACAGGGCAGTGAGCTTCAGGACCAGCTGACTGGGGGGACAGGGGACACTTCTCTGGGATCAACACTTGGCTCAGCAGGGCCTACCGGTAGTAGGAACTCTGGTCACTGCATTTTAGGTGTACTCAATATTTTATTGCCGTCTTTTATATATTGATTAGCAGTGGATATCAGATGAATTTATCTCTGTATGCATTGTTTGGTGTTTTTCTCTGCACATGGATCATTTTTTACCGACCTCTGTGTGCAGGGCTTCTAAGGGGTGTTTGTCTCCTTAGGTGTAATCCTGGTCTGTGACTGCACCCCAGCACTTCACTACTATATGGGGCAATAGGTTCAAACCCACTTTCAAATATTTGGGACCTGTTTTTGTGTGCAGGGGCTGATATGGCAGAGAGTCTCCTTCTCATGGTGTAGAAATCCCCAAGTGCCTCCTCCTTCTCCCTGTTCTCACTGCCAGGTCAAACCTTTCTGGAGAGCTGGTCTTCAGGAGCAAGGTATGAATGGTTAGTCACGTGTTCCAATGTGTTTTTATTCAAGGGGAAGCAGTGGCTGCTTATCCAAGGTCCTGCTTTCTTCCAGAACGAGTATGTGCTGTCTTCCACTCCCATCTCCCTCCCCCACATCCCCCCACCTCTCCTCCCCCTCTCACACTGGTGTCAAAGTGGCACCTTTGAGAAATGTGCAAAAAGAACAAAACAAGGAAGAAAAGCCTATGCAATACCAACAATTGCAAGGGCAGCAGTGTGGAGCAATGGTTAGTGTTCTGGACACATAACTGGAAAGCTCTGGGCTTAACACGTAGTTAAGACATTGCTATTATAGCAAGGTGCTTCTGAATCACTTCATAAAATACTTAGCTGCATAAATGGGAACTGATGTAAGTTGCATTGGATGAAAGCATCAGCCAGATAAATTAATTGAATTAATCTTTTAGTTTATGTATATAAATCGAATCAACATTGAAAAAATACTTTTGGTCAAATCTGATTCAAGGGTTTGTTCAGACCATGTGTAAGGATCTGGTTATGTCTCTCTGACCTCAGGTTGAGACAGCCAGTTATGTAAGCAAACACACCCTGGCCTGGTCCTGCTGGAGCCCACAGGACGGGCTGCAGTAGAGCCTGGCACTGCCAGCCCATCTGGACCCAGAACAGGGGCTGCAGCAGAGCCTGGCCCTGCTGGAGCAGTATTGCTAAACACGGGCATTGACAGTCAATCTGAACAAAACAAGAGTCATGGTTTCCAGAAGCAAGGCAGATATCCTGGAGCCTAAGAGCTGTTATCTCTCAATTGGCACCCACAGTAGTTGAAGGTGTGGCTGATACACCTCAGCAGGGCAGGGACCTGACCTCATGAAATGGAACCAAAAGTAGGTTAAATAAATTCAGACATGACCTACAGTGAAGTCCTTCAATAATTGAAAAGATTCACTCCCTGCTGTGAAACAGACATTTTTATTGCTCCACAGACATGATTCAAGTGCTTCAGGGAAGCAGGCCTCACCAGCTGCCTTTAAACAGCGTCACAAAGGAGTGCTCACATAAGACACTTTGATTTGCTCAAAATCACCCTACTGGTTGGCATGTCGTCTGTTTCCCATATCTTTTCTCCCGCTCACCAACTGTTCTGGTAAAAAAAACAGCTTATGGAGTCACTTCAGTGATGTCTGCCTGGAGTCTTCCAGAGGGTGCATCATTAACGTCATGCAGTTCCTGAATTCCCACTGGTAAGAGTGAAATCTTAGCTTGTCTGTACGGTCTATTGATAGTTAGACATTCCTGAAGTAGGATTTTAAAGGTTGGTGAAGCTGTGTGAAGTGCTTATTTATTTTTGGCATAAAATATAATCTCAGGAACGTTTAAAACAACAGCCCAACATCAAGACAAGTAATAAAGAAATTCTAAGGAATAGAGTCAGAAATATAGAATTCACACTGTGGGATATGCACCAAGAAGTAAAATCAGGAACAGAAAATGTTGAGATCCTAACTGAGTACTTTATCTGAACCTGATTTTTAATATTTTTGCCAGCAAGTATATTTTGTTTCGGTTTCTGACTTGTTTATGATGGATTTCTGCAAATATGTATTCTTCAGAGCTGAGTTAAATGATATAGTTCTGCTTTCTTTGTTCTCCAAGTGGTGTGAGGGGACTTTTCTGCCAGTGTTCCAGTACAGTCTGCTGCACCCTGAGGTTACTGCCCATCTAATACTGATGAGACGGCATGCTCCTCTGCCTTTTCTCACAGAAAACACATGGATTGCTAATGTACTGTATGTGCATGGTGCAATTTCACAGCAACAAGAAGGTGGATAACCCACTGACACACAGTGGGAACATAAACACAAGCGGGTCTTTTAAAAAGAGAAGCTCTACTGCTCAGTTGTTGGAAAATGCATCGGGTATACAGTACACTACACTGAAGATCTTTAGTCGCTCCAATTCCATCCTGCCCTTCATTCTGTGTGTCGAACCCTTGCAGCCTCCTGCAGGTGTCTATGTGACTGGAGCACAGAACAGAGTGAGTGACGTAGTGGGAGCAAATCATAATGCACCAAGCTTGAAGGAGCTACTTGCAAAGAAGCCTCAGATGTTAATGTAGACTCATCATTTTCATCTTCTTTCTTACACAAAGGGTAGTGGGAGTCTGGAGCAAGTTTCCCAGCCATGCTGTCAAAACTGATAGCCTGTCTTCATGAATTGGGCGACTGAACAAATGAAGTAAATGGGACAAATGACTTCTCTCATTGTTAAAGGTCCGTATGGTTTTATGACTTATGACACTGTTTATATCACAGCACACAGCTCACAGTCTTTGACTCTTCATTGTCAGGGCATACAGAGAGGAAACTATTTTCCATTTTAATTTTGCTTCTTAAAAAGAAATTCTGGATTACTGGTGTGTACATTTTTAAACTCACTGAAGTTACAAACACTTAAATTAGGTCTCCTTATCGCATTATCATTCATGACCCAGTTATTTAATACCTTTGTGTTGTCACAACAAAAGGGAGCAATATATTTTTATGGAGTTTACAGAGCTTACAACATTCTTTAGACAGATTCTTTAGACAGATTGGCAGTTTTTCTCTCATTTATATGTCATTCATTTGAGATATAATGTTTATTTTCACTCAGGCAATGAAAAATGGCACTTTTGATTCAGAAACAGACAGTAAAAAGGGAGCAAAGCAACCTTTTAATTTTTTAACTTTTAGTTTCCTAAGTTTCCTAATTTTCTTGTATAGAGATATGGCTGGTTTGACATTCTAGACAACCTGATTATGCAATAAAATGGCATCAAATTCGAAAGGAGAAGAGATCAGCCCCTGTGATGAGGTGGGAGAAGCAGAAATTCCCAATGGGAGATACAGATACGGAGAGAGAGTTTCAAGATAAAAGTCATCCCCAGGAACACAGCAACCATTCTCTTCAGGGTCATAACTCTTCGTGGTTGTATGATTATCAGGACTTTTATGGTGAAACATTCCCCATGTTACTGCCTCTCCAATCTTTCAGTCATCCATCATGCTCTGTGGGCTCTCTTCATGTAAGACTCTGTGTTTATTGAAGGGATATTTAAATAAAAGATGAAGTGAATACCTATAGAAAGCACTGTACAGGCAAAGTGACATGCCACACAGTTACTTCAAACCTGAACATGTGCCAGCATTTGCAAACACTGATAATAGTTTGCTAATCTTTAAAATTAGGGAAGGTCTTTGTGTCAAAGACTGTTTGCTAAATAATTTGTTAAGTTTTACTGTTATGCAAAACCTTACATGGGCCATTGTATCCACATGGAGCAAAACATCATTTGTAAGGCTGGGTTTATGCTTTAAATGCAATTCATTTCAGCTCCACAAGCTACACCATAGTTACTTCTCAAACTGTTTAATGTTTAATTGCCTTTGCAATTAAAGTATCTGTATCTGTAACACAATAGCAGTGTTCATCCCTATCGATACTGAGCATAAATGGAAATGATTTAAGAAAAACGAAATATTCAGATTTTGGATACTGATTTTAATTTTTGATATTGTTGTGATTCATCGATCACTAATAATGGACCTCAACACTTGGAAATGACTTAATGAAGTACTTTATTGCTGTAACTGATTAGTGAGAGAACTGGTTGGACAAAGGTAATTTAACCTGGTGAAAATCTTCTCTTGAGTTATGCTGTGGATGTCCTACTCACCTGGTGTGAGCTACTGATCTGAGCTGGGATGACATGTGGCATCTAGCGCTCAGAGACCAAGAGATGACTGGCCAGGGATATATACAATGTCAATGCACCTGCTACAAAACACAGCATTTACCCAATTGTACCTGAGAATCTGGTGCAGTAATACATGTTTATAAAAATGTTTCCTTTGATGATGAGCATTCAAAAAACAAATGCATACACACAAACATTCATACATTGAAATACACAAGAGTGCGACTTGTGTACTTGTGTAACTTGCAGGTCAAGATGTAGGACACAACCCTCCCTGTGCTTGCTGAACAAAACCCAGACAAGATACTGATGTAGACGTAGGTATGATCCCAAGGCACTGAATCTGTGAGGACCCTCCTGAGTGCAAGGTGAGCCCTGTAGCCCACACACCCAGCAGCCTAGACATTTTCTAACTGGGACCAGAACTGAACACCAGCGGGTGCATGATAAGCTGAGCACCACAAGGTTGAGGAGGGGCTTGAGGGGTTCAGTTGCATCACGTACCGTATCTGGGGTTTCCTGTGTGACATCAACCCTCGTGACTTGGTGGGTGCTCACGGGCCCACAGTGCCATCTGTGCGGGTGACTGTGGACCCGCAGTGCCATCTTTAAGAGCTGTGTTTTTGCTCCAGCTCGTGTTGGCTTTGCACAGAGAGGGCTCGGGGGTTTCACAGTGTGGAGAAGGTGCTCGGCTCTGACAGCACACCTTTAGGTAGAATGTGTGCACGTTCCTCGCTCATGCTGGAAAATGGGCCAAGCTGCGAATTGGCCTGTATTCCTAACAGTGTGAGGACAAAGGTCAGGAAAAATCTTAGGGCCCTTTTACAAATCACTGTGCTGGAAGTATATATTCTGGCTCTATTTTCACCCAGTTTCATTTGGGTGGAGTGTGGAATAGCAAATAATAAGAAAATGAGGGCCAGTGGGAAGTCCTCACAAAGAGAAGGATACAAGCGTTTGCGTGCGTGACCGAAAGAGTGGCGCACGGGGATGTAGAAAGGAAGGCGCCTGGCGATGATTCCCATTGTAAACAGGGAGTAGTGCACAGCCGAGCAGCCTGAGCCCCGAAGCAGCACAGGACAGAGTTGTGTCTCTGTGTGTTTCTCCGTTTCCTGAGCGATGCCCTTCTCTGCCGTGGTGTGGCAGGCACTTGAAAAAAAAAAAAGTAAGCACGTAAAACGGTAAGTAAATAAAATGATTATGTCTGTTTTGTTAATATTTGCTTTGAATTTTTTACTGCCTCTTCCATCTGCACTGTGTGCGTTGTGGCCGTGTGTAACTGGGAGGGTAAACAGGTACTCCAGAGAAGGGATTTTCACAGCGCTGCTGCTGCTCTTGCAACAGAGCTCCTGCTGGGTTCCTTTGTTAAGGAGAGCATGTCAATTCTTCAGGCTGTGCGAATGACAATGACAGGGCGCGAAGGCTGGAGGTAGTGTGTAGTGTTACAGCTGGCCCTGGCCGCTCTGCCCTGAGACAGGGGGGCACCGCTCCTCTGTGCGGGTGCTGTCCCTGAGCGTCAGTCAGCAGCGCTGTGGGCCAGAGCGCCAGCCCGCTGGTCATGGCGCTGGAATGTGCGTGGGACAGCACAGAGCCCCCTCTGCATTGACACGCTCCCGCCCCCTGACTTTCAGCTCTTGTTCCCGCTGTCTCGGTCTTGCCTGGCCTTCTGCCACGGACACTGGCCTGCGGAGGGCACCTCCCTCCTGCTCGAGTGGGAATTAGCACACACCGCAGAGCCCGCTGTGCCAGGGGGTAATATCACACTTCACTAGAGAGGAGCTGCTTCCCTTTAAGACAACACGAAACACAGCAATGCCAGCTGGCTAACACCAAGTCTGCTTTAAAGTGCTGATTCTATTGCCGTTTCTCTCAGTTTGTAGCTTTGTTCTACATTCAAATGCCATGACATTGCAGGGGATCTTAATTCCCCAGATTTTGATTGACCAGGCTCAGATTTTTAGGCCCTTCATTTGCACTCTCTCACCAGAGAGCATCTTTCTGGACCACAGAAGGGCTGGGTGCAGTGGTACCACTGCCAGCTTCTCCAGAGGCCCCCTTCGGAACTGTAGACAATCTCAGGCCTCGAGAAGCCACTACATTCATTGATATTTCTAAGTGCCTGGTTTGGGCAGTTTGTGGTGTCAGATTACCAGGACATTACCAGGTGCTGCCCTGCTCACGCTGCGTGTTGGCTAGCAGTCTGTGTCTTCAGTCACTTTGTATCTCTGTGCTTCTTTTCGCTTTTGCCATGAATTCATTATGGCTTGCCATTCGTTGACCATGGCAGCACAACAGTGAACTTCTATAAATAGGAAAAGGCTTATGCGCGTGCTTATGTTGTGATTTTCGACTGGTGTGCCTGAGCTGCCCGGGGGAATATTTCTGGGCCCAGGAATGTGCTTCTCCCCTGCAGGATTCAACCTTGCCTGCGCCCCTTTGACCAAGTGGTAAATCCCCCCTCTGTCATCAGAGGACAGGAATTCACCTCCCAGAGACCACAGGCTGAGGTTGTAATCAGTAATTCCTGCAGAACCCACTGACTTTCACTCACACTTCTTCTAAAAACACAAAAATATTTTTTTTGACACTAGAAATTTTATTATCCAGGCGGCACGGTGGTGCAGTGGCCAGCATCACTACCTCACAGCGCTGGGGCCCTGGGTTCTGTTCTGGACCTGGGGTGCTGTCTGTGGGGAGCTTGTTCTCCCAGTGTTCCTGCAGTTTTCCACCAGGTGCTCCAGTTTCCTCCCACAGTCCAAAGACATGCTAGTGAGGTTAATTGGCTTCTGGGAAAACTGGCCCCAGAGAGTGCATGTGTCTGTGCCTGTGTGTGGCCTGCAATGGCCTGGTGTCCTGTCCAGGGTGTAACCTGCCTCGTGCCCATTGCTTGCTGAGATAAGCTCCGGCTCTCTTGGATGAGTTGGATGAACCAGTTAGAAAATGGATGGATAGACAGATACGCTCACATGCTCTTCAGCTTGCAAGAAGAATATTTCCTAACGGAAATAAAGGCTTTGTCACAAAAGGTGGGGGTTTTGCTTCCCAACACCCAGATTAAGGCACCCTTGGGTATTGGACTAGGGTGATTGTCGTTGTCTTTCTCTGTCCAGGCACCTGTTGTGTGTTAAGAGGGGAGGAGCTAGCCCTATTTCCCTGAAATTGTCCTTAGGTGTGTATCAGCAAAACAGAGAATTAAGTGTATGTTGCACAGCTTAGAGTGGTTAACTTTACATTCAGAACAGGCAGGAAGCCAGACCACAGTCATGTGGTGGAAAGGTTATATTGTAAATAAATATATTGTGGCAAACTTTTAGATCAGTTGATAATTATCTGTGTCTGTATGCGCTGGTGTGAAGCTTTTCAGATCATTCTAACCAAATAAAAGATTGCAATGGCCGAGGCCCGTGAAATTAAGTGCATCGGAGCTTCACTAACTCTGCAGAGGGACTGCAGGCTAACGCAAGGGGAAGGTAGTAAAAATGCAAGGAAGATGACATAGCAGACAGTGTTGAGGCAACCTGCACACTGAACAAATTTCCACCTGGATAGACGCAGCTGAGTGGCACAGCAGTGTCAGAGAGCTGTGATACTGGCAGCCGAAGAAGCCTGCATACTGAGACTGTAAACCTGTTAACTATCAGTTTCTCCCCTCCTTTCCAACTTCCTCTCCTGCTGCTCTCTGGGACTGGCAACACGGCCCTGTGCTTTTACTGTCAGAATCTTCCTAATTCCTGCCCCAGCCAGTTTCTTGTTTGCATGGGCTTTTAAGGCTTGAGGCTCTTGTGTTTTTAAGGAGACAAGAACAAACAATGATATTTTCCTGCTTGGATTCTGTTTGTTACTAATCGTTTCTTAGAAATCACAATTTCCTCTTTTGTGTTCAGCGCTTTTTGCGAGTCTCATTTTCCATATGACACTTGAAAGCTCAGTGGAGAATACAGAAAGGCTGATGGTGGAGCCTGGGCAAGGCCAGAGTGTACAGGCCCAGGGTGGAGTTCAGCCAGGCCACTGGGGTTAACACAGCTACTCGTAAGAGCAGCCATGGGAGCCTTCATGATCCAGTATTGAGGACGCTGGTTACAGTCTCATCTGTAGGACAGTAGCGTCACCTGTGAACCGGTATGAACATCTAACAAGGCTACCAAACCACATAAGGATGAACTCAGAAGAAACATTTTAAAAAATGTTTTCTTTTAATTGAATGCCACACATAAATACGGGTTTGCAAATCGATCTGTACAGGTTGGAATAAAGAGAAGTGATGTCAAACACAGCTCCTATTAGAAACTGGGTGAAATGGATGAAATACCGGGTGCTGGTGAAGGCAGGACAGTGCAGTCCAGCTTCTCCTCTCTGCAGCTTGTGCCAGACTGACTGGAATTTCTAGATTTTAAATCAGCAGGCCATACATAACGACCTGCCCGGACGTAAACATCCGTCATTTCCTACTTGGTTCCTCTGCCGTGGAATCATGGAACGAAAATCTCACACCGCACACGAGAAAATAAACAAAACCATAAATCTCCTTCTTGGTAGTTCCATTTCATAAGCAAAGATGAATACCAAATGTAAGAAAGCAGAGAACTGTGCGGAGCTTTTAAAAGAACAGGGCCCAGCTGCTGAAACTCCATGGCAGCTCTCTGTGGAGACCAAGGATCAACAGCTAGGTCCACTAGGCACTCCTTCTTCCTGCCCTGCAGACACCAAGCGCCCACACACCTGCTGTAAAGGCCACTATCTGAAGACAGGGAACAAACACAAATCAAGTTTTATTGCCTGTGAAATCTGATTACTGAGTAGGAGCCTGGGACACAGCGATGAACCGGAGAGCGAGCTCGGTATCAGATTGGGTTAAAGAACATAGGAAACGACACAAACGATAGGAACCATGTGGGATCTGGCCCAGGTGTTAGTGAGTGAGTAACTGCTCCGGTTTCTTGAAAGAACTCCGCTGGATATCCACACTCCCTCAGCCCTTTGGGTAAAGAAATGCCACCAGTTCTCAGTTTTAATTGCTCTCCCTCATAGTTTCTATCTGTGCCTTCTGGTTCGAGTTTCAGTGTTAATTTGAAAGACGTCCACCTCGTTGACTTTGTCAGTGCCTTGGAAGATTTGGAATACTTGTACCAGCTTCCTTCGTACTCTTCTGTGTTCAAGACTGAAATAAAAACAGGTTCCATTACTTCAGCCTGTAAGTGTCAGTGCGTCATGAAGGTAAAACTTTCTCAAGCAAATTTCAAAGGTAAATAGCAAGGGGCCTGAAGTCAGGGGTTGTAGACAACCTATTGTGAGTGTCACAGGGGATAATACAGTATATCTTTAATTGCTTTATTGCTGCACAGTCTGAGGGCCTTTGCCCTGAGCTCAATCCAGCCCCAAGCTCTGTTAAGCAGGAAGTCCAGTCTTAGAGTCCATCATAGTCTTTGTGTCACGATCGTAAGTCCCTCCTCTTAAGGGCGCCTGTCTCCTGTGCCAGCTCTTTCCCTATAAAAGCCAGACGCTCCTACCAATCTGGGCTCAGCTTTGGAGTCCAGGAGTGGCCCGACGGCATCGGCTTCACAACGGCATCCTGACCATCTGGGTCCGGGGCTGGGAGCGCCTGGCCCCGTTCCCCCTTTCTTATTCCCCCGACCCTTCACCAGATCCTGCTCTGGCTTTTAACTTCTGTCATGTCAGTCCTGGATGGATCACCTGGCTCTGGACTTTTGCCTACACTGGATTTCCCTACGGACTCCCTTTGGACTTGTTTGCCTTGGACACGCCCCACCGAGCACCAGTGCACCGTCGACACGGCCCCCTGTTTGGCTACCAGCCCCGTTCCCAGTCTGCTTTCCCCGTGTTTGTTGCACCCCCCTCCGGATTCTGCTGTCTGCATAGGGTCCTGAAAAACGCTTCGTGACCCTTTGGAATCTGGACTGTATGCTGACTCATGAGGCACACTCCAGCAGCACTGCCTCCAAGTGCTGTTGAATGACCACAGATACTGCTGTCCATTAAGTCCTCTGAGGCGGCCCGTTGTTGGGAAAAAGCCACATTGGCAACAGTCCAGGCAGAAGCTAAGAAACAAAGTCCCAGGGAAGAGTGAAAGCTGGGTGGAGCCCGGCAGACCTGTGTAACGTCTGACTGGGCCTCAGTGAAACTGAAGTGAAAAGCCTTATTGCCCTTATAAAAATTCAGGAAAGCAAATTTGCACTGAGATTTTATACTGTATCTTCCTTACCCACCAGCAGTTCATCCAGTTTCTTATCTGACTCTATTATACTCTTTTATCTTTTATATTTTTTGACTGTGAGACAAGAGAGCAAATGACACAACCCCACATTGCATAATAACATCAGGTAAACACAACCTTTGGTAACAGGAAGGTTATCGTGGGAGTGTGTTCTTGCACAGCTGAGAAAGGCATAATTTAATTAATGACTAAAGATCTCTGAAAAGGCAATGTAATAGACCAGAAAAAGAGATGATTTAAACCAGTGTTAGCCATAGGAACAATGCTGTTCAGAAGTCATGCATACTTCAATCCTGCCAAACAAACATAGCAGCGTGCTGTAGCACTTTCCCAACTCTTTTTAAATCTTCATTCCAGGAGGCCTCCTTCCTAACAGACAAGGCTGTACACCCTGTGAAAATTGCTAAGGAAATTCTTAGTGAGAAGCATTTTCATGGAATATGCTAATTATCCAATTAAGTATTTTTACTAGATTTACTTTCAAAAGAGTTAATTTAGATCCATACCAGAAATGATAGAGGACAGTGATTTCCACTGCAGTGCTACAGTGAGACCGGGTTTAGTCAATCTGAGATGAAGCAGGACATACTTTCAGTGGCTAAGATGACTTGTTGCTCTGGGCAAAGCTTACAGCTTTGAACCATTCTCCCTAGTACAGAATAACATTTGAGGTTTTGAACTGGTTCTCTCAGTCCACCTTTGTCGATTGCTTTTGTGTTGGAAAGTACAATATATGCTTGTAGCTTCAAAGTTTGCAGTTATGGAATATGTCCATGAGACATTCAATTTCTCCACAGTCTGAGGAACTGCAGTTTTCATGGACCTGTACTTACACAGCAGTGTGGGTTGTGGTGCTGAAAGACCAAAAGGCAAATCTTAGATTTAATGCTGCTGCTTCGATGGTATCACTAATCAAGCTGGTTATGAGGCTGTCTCACAGGATCAGGTTACTAGAACAATAAATAAAAAGTAGCAGACCACAAGAATAAAAATAAAGCAAGCAAGCACGCATTAGAATTTTATCAGTCCTGTTTTAAAACCAAAACCAGCACTGCATTTGAATGATTCATTTTGAGACTCACTGTATGAGAGACTCAAAGAAAATGGTTTGATTGTAAGAGGAGATTTCTCCAGTCCTTCAGGCTGCAAACATATCACCAGTGAACTGTCAGGTGTCCAGTCTCTGGTATTGCTGGTGAAGTCATAGGTCTTAATCTCCTTCAAACCAGGAAAGATCCATGCCTGGCAATGAAAAAAAACAGCAGGAGTCTCCTGGTTATGTTATTCCTTCCAGTTCTGTGGGACTTCAATCTGCCCCATTCCAATCAGTCCCAGATTTTTGGCAGGTTCTCCAAGATCCGCCTCCGATGAGAGCGATTGATCACGCCGGCAGCATGCAGGTCTTCGTCGGTGATGCCACTGTCAAGAAAGCATCGAGACGTGAAGCTCTCTCAGTCCCAGAATCCCCTAACATGCTTGTCATTGATTGACACAATGGAGAAGGCTGCAGTTCTAAAAGGATGCAAGTAAGAACAAAGGAAGCCCTTTCTCTAGTCGATGGAAACAGAATAATGTTCAAATGAGTCAAATTCTTCTTTTGTTTGGAATGTTTTTAAAATGTACCCATGTCAATTCACATGCAAGAGCAACTCAACACTTAAAACCATTTCCAGGAGGAGTCACATGAGTCTATTTCTTTCTTAACAATTCTAAATTATGATAAATGTGGCCCTGTGGATTGTTCAGTAAAACACCTTATAATTTTTCAAAATAATTTGTTTTATCACTGTAGTGCTTATAGTCTCTGTTTTTTACTGCTTAAGTCTAACATTCAAAGATGTGCCAATATTTTGTACACGGAGCACATGCGTATTGCAAAAAACCCAGAGCTGATTAAATTTCCATTGTCTGACTTGACTTTGGTAAAGGAATCTGAGCTTCTTCAAAACAGATGTAAGTTAATGTACTTAAAAGGAAAAGCTAATTAATGTTTGTACTTGCATCACCACGCTTCTGTTGGCACAGCTATTTTCCGTCTGAGGAGGGAAGGAAAGACTGAGCAGATCAAAGGCTGGATTAAACCCCCCTCACCTCAGAGCCTCCAGGTCATCCCAGCCATTCAGACTAAGGCCCAGCAGGTAGCGCTGCAGGCCCAGGGCACTGAGCAGCTCCCGGAGCGTCTCAGGAGCTCCGCGTGCTTCCACCGCCTGCAGACAGGGGGCAGCAGACACAGAAACACAATTCTATAATTAATCAATCAACTCTCGCGACAATGGATGTTGAATAATCCCTAAATCACCTCATTAGTGATAGTGCTGTTTGGGCACATCTGATGAGGTGATTTGACCTGCTGAATGTCAATACTGGCGAAAAGCAAGAAGCAAACGCACTGTATGTCAGCGAGTGTTGTGCAGAGGTGCAGAATGACACACTAATTGTCATGCATAACAAGCAAAGCACCTGCCACTCCATTAATTACCGTAATTTTCTCATTATCAACATTTTCCAGATTGTTTACAGACGACAAGCAAGTTGGAATGGGCACGTTTTCTAGGCCTCTTCCAAGCACAAGTACCTGAAGAGCTGGAAGAAACCGTTTCATTGATCCCATTAAACCAACAATGAGCTTGATAACTGACTTGGAATGAAAACCTGCAGACTCACTGGCTCCCAAGACCAGGACTGCCACCCCTGTGCTACACAAGCGCTTCAGCAATTTACACAAAATGCAGATGTCCGGTCAATGGAGGGGTTGTTTCGCTAGCTACCTCTTTTTCCCAGAAGCAGCCGTGCTTGCCACTCCTCGAGGATCTGGGAATGTTGTAATTAGGATTCATCCCTTGACTCCTGGGCACAGAGTACTCGCTCCCCGTTGGCTGGAAGTCCACCTCGCTCAGCGACTTGGCGATCTGCAGGGCGGTGAGGGAGTGGTCTCCAGAAGGGCGGGTCTGGAGCCCAGCAATCCAGGGTGCAAGAGCTGGAGATCTGGACTGTGTCGGGGGCACGAGCGAATAGATCGAGGGGGGCCGGTGCGCGGAGGAGGCTGGTCCCCGATGCAGTCTGGACTGATCCGTACTGTCCCCGGGCAGAGCTGGCTGGCCCTTCGTCCACATGGCATGGCTCGTGTAGGAGTGTTTCCTCTGCTCGTGGGAGAGGGGTGAGTCATTGCCGCCGTAGCCTTCATACAGGGAGTGGTCCTTGTAGACGTGGGTGTTTGGGTTTGGGGTGGGTTTTGCTGGAGAAGCCAGTGCGGGCTTGTCCTTGGCAGGGAAGAGCTGATAGGAGGAGGGGGTCTGGGGCTGGTGCTCTCGGGGGGGTTTATAATAGGGGAGGCACCCCGGGATTTCGATCTCGGCAAAGTTGGATCTGCGCGGGGCTTTGCCATCAAGACTGGCTCCTACTGACACTCTGGGCAGCTGCAGGACAGAGTTCCTGCACCACACCGCCTGCGGCTCTCTCTCGGAGAGCAGCTGGTCTTCTTCCACCTTCCTCAAGGCGGGGAGCCCTTCGAAGATGAAGTAGGCAGGGTTGGTGTAGCTGCTGGGAGCCCCACCAGAGGAGGCCGGCTCACTGCTGGAACAGAGCAGAAAGGTGAAAGGTCAAGCACCCATACTGGTGGGGAACAAGAATGCTTTCCCCGTCGTCTGCAGAGCCAAGTCTACAGAGCAGACATCTTTGAAACAAACTCATCTGTTTGCATGTCTGGGCTTAGCTTAATCACACCTTTAATGATAAACAAAGACAAAGCAAAATTCGCCTCTGTTCCATTATGCCGTTATGCCATTACAGAAGAAAACTTTCAACATTTTGAATGCGTCTTTTTTTTTTTTAGGCTGGAAATAGGTTTCTCCCCAGTTCATTCCTCACATTCAGGAGAACAGAAACCACAGCGAGGTCATCGGATGTGAGCAACTGCTGACATTCAACACATTACTAGTTTGTTAAAGTCATTCAGGAAATAGGCCAGCGTGTGTTTCTCTTTTTCTGGCTTGACCCCATTGTGCCCTTGCAACACTTCAGTGTGTCCATTATCCATTGAAGGTGTGCATGTAGTTACATTACACATTGTAATATAGCACATTATCTTCTGAACTGAAGATTGAAAAAAGAACAGGGATGATAATAGCAATAAAGTGCTCTGCGGAAACGACAGATTTGACAGGTTTGGGAAAGCCTGGCTCTTGTTAGTCTGTGTTCGCAGCATGCTGAAATCACTTTATACCAACTATCCCTCACCGCAAGCTGGGAGTGTGGGTCTTCGGAGGCGACAGTCGACCTCTGACCTCCCCCTTCTCGTCCTTCTCAAAACAAAACCACTCTGTGCGAGACAGACAGGAACACGCATGTAAATAACATGTACACAACTGCAGACGTCAATCTATGCCAACTGAAACGGTGTTCAAATAGGAAGAACAGGATCACTGCAAGCAGAAGGCAGGTTGAGCACCTCAGGGTCATTTCTCAATTTCTCTGACGATGTTGGACTAATGTGATCATTAGACACACACAGAATTTTTAAATTCTCCTTCTCTTAATTACATCACTTTTTTGCAGTAAGCCCAATAACAGTGTGTGCAACTTCATTAAGATAACAGTGATATAGTGAGGTGTAGCTAGGAAGTGCAATAATACATAAATTCCAAAGTGACAGAACATGGACCACCTAACCCTGCTTATTATATAATTAGAGCTTTGCCAAATAAAGTAGCATATTTCAGGGCCTCCTCAGCTCAGTTTAGGGACATTACAGAATAAACTTTCAAGGCCAATGTAAAAAACTGGGCACTTTAGAAAACACAAATCTGTTGTGTTTGCAGTTCTGCAGAAGCCGTGGGTATGATCTTAGGGTCACCCTTATCTTCCCTGCCTATAGATCAGGATGCATCTGCTTGTGGTTGACATCTCAGTGCCTACTGTGGGAGAACTGAAAGAGGAAGACACTGCAGGGATAAAGGGCAGCCCGGATTACCATAAATCCTCTCCCTTGTGCGGAGTCGGTCCTTAGGAACGTGAACTCTGACCCTTCCCCGAATGGAGCCCATCTCCTCTCCGCGGTGAGTCAGGAAGGTCTCAAACTGCTCCGCCGTGCTGCCAATGAGCGAGCGCAGCGCAATGCAGCACTCACCTGCAGGGGGAGACAGATCCCCGTGAGCCCGGAGCCGGAGGAGCCTGCTTTGCAAGATATTAGTCACATGAGGTCGTGTCTCTGCCAGAGCCGCACTGCCAACGGGAGTCACGGGCCAGGGGCTCTACCCACCGTAAGACTCAAAGCCATCGCAGGACTTGACGGAGAGCAGCAGGTGCTGGTCCTGCAGGTACTCCATGTCCGAGAGGAGTGGGATGAGCTGCGGACGGAGAGGAAGGATGAGGGAGGCTGGTCTCGGAGGCGAGAGGTGAGGAGAGGAAGAGAGTCACCAGAGCAGCGGAGGACCGCAGTGGATGAGAGAGGGAGCGTGGGAAGAAGAGGCAGGATGGGCAGAGAGAGAAAGAGAAACACACAGTGAGCAGTTGTGCAGGAGATCAGGAGGAGAGAATGAGCTAGCAAGCTGAAATGTCTGCTGAGTCAAGGAGCAGTCAGCCTCTCACCTTGGGCAGCTGTTTGGAAGACCAGCCGAGCTTCAGGAATCCAGACACCTCACAGCTCTGAGTGTCGTTTTCGCTGGAGCGGTGGAGATCTGTACAAACAGGATCACAAACAAGAGATGCTGAATGACAGGCAGGATTAAAATTGCTGCAGCCCTAAAAAGCTGGGACACCTCATGTGAAACCCCTTGGGATACCCCTTGCAGTGGCAAAGCCTTGGATGAGCTGTACTGGGGTCAGGTGGGCTGGAGTCTGGCTGCAAATCCTTGGCTCATCACCAACCTTCCTCTCACCTATTGTCACTGAGAACTGGATCGTGGCTCCTGTTGCTCCACGACTGACTGCTGTAGGAATCGTACGACTCACAGTGCGAAAGATGGCTTTGGCAGCGATATTACTGAGGAAGCTGATTAACAATTCATGGGATTTTCTGTAATAAACTGATGATGCCAAAAAAGCTACTTAATAATTCCATTGCACTCCAAAACCAAATATGTGAAGAGGTTTCTGTTCATAAGGAACAGATTCTGGGCAATTGATTGAAATTAAGTGCACTAGGACGTCCATCAGCATATTAGCTGGAATGGCAGTGTGATAACACACTATCAAGGCTGCATGGTAATAGATTCTGAGGCACACAATACAGAACAATACAGTTTTAAAGATAATGCCTGATATTTGAAAACAATAAAACGTAACGCAGAGTTAGACTAGTTTTACTTGTTGAGACCCCCACCTTCCAGGCAGTAGGAATGAAACTCAATGAAGAACTTGGCTTTGCTGGATGTCTTCACGATGGCCTCAATGCCTTCCAGCTCAATCCAGGCCTGTTCAGTACTGGAACCAAGATCTGCTCAAACATCGTGGAGATACAAACATGCCTCAACCCACAAACCACAGGAGCCTCTTTAAATGGAGGTTTGAACAGCATTATATCAACGGGAAGTCAGATCAGAGTGAGAGAAGGTTTATGGTTTATTTCCAATAAGACCATAGAGGAACACAGGTATGTTTTATGCAAGGAATAACTCTATAAAACACACTATGACTATGATGATCCTTGTAAGACACACCCTGTGTATACACCCATTCCCCAGGTCAAACTCAAGTGAGCCCTGCTGAACAGCCCTAACAATATCCTAACCATGTCCACTGCTGCTAATTTTGAATTCATATGCACAAATTAGAAAAGCTTATACTAGACCCTTCTACTCCTTCTTCTGCTCCTCAGCATTGTGAAGTGGTAAAAGCTAATTCATATTCATTTCCATAATTCATATTATTCCGACGTATATACTGCACGTAAATACACACGCATAATCTTTATTAACCAGTGTAACGTTTCTTGTGAATCCAAGGAAAAAAACATTATTTCCATATGTCAATGTAAAAGTATATTTGATTTGTGCTGGACTTGTAAGGCCTTAAAATAGAATATTGGACAGTTCCTCCCAGCGAGCACCAAGCCCCCACACCCATGACCTCACCTTTCTTGGAGACGAACTGTGATGTCACTCCTACTTGGAATGTTGCGAAGACGGGGGAGTGGTCACTGGTAATGACATCATCAGTACAGCCTGCGGATGCAGAGAGGTTGCGAAATGAGGGCGCGTATACTGTCCAGCTGACTCGTGGGAAGAACTGATTCATCTGAGAATATGCTGCTTTCACTGTAATGTGGCACAGGAATGGATGGTCCCTGAACCGGGCTGTGTTGGTTATGCTACAGAGAAACCACTTTGATGTGAAGAAAAAGATTGAGGGAAGATAGAAATCTGAGGTCTTTTTTCTGTTAAACCAAGAGCAAGTAAGAAGTGTATAACATTCCCACATCCAAATCGGGGGAAAATTAATATAATCGGGGCCATTTGGTTATAGGTATTAGTGGGAAATTCTGAGAAGTCCTCCTTTTAAATCATCTCTTCTGCTCACCGTAGGAGGTGCACTTGATGTGTGTTTCTGGGTAGGATTTCCAGAGCACACGGTCACACCACGAGGGCACGTTGATCCGAACCTGCAGCAGTACAAGAATGCATGGCTGTGATTCCTCCGGACGCTGGGTCTAGTGCCCAAACAGCTTTTGCACCTTACAGCAAACCCTTCTTCCGAGCAGGGTCTGCTACACTCCCCCCTGGGTCCCAATATCCATTTGTTTCATCCGACTCGGCAGAGTGGAGGCACACTTACCCCAGTAGACTTGTACTTCTGCCACAGGTAGCAGTCCCGGGAGCCCCGTTCGTACCGATAGGTGGGTGGAAACGCAATCTCTTCTTCGTCTGCAGGGAGAAAGGGAGGAATACTGAAGGGAAGTCGAGGCAGAGGCCCGAGGTTTCCGCTAGCCAAGCTGGTTTTATTTGACAGCTCCACTGTCCCCCCAGAGGGCCTAGCCAAGGCTGAGGAAGAGATCGGTCTACACACTGAAGTGCAGGAAGGCCTTCCTCTTGTGGCGCTCGCGGGTCAGCTGATCAGCACACAACAGCTCCTCAAACTCCCTCTTGGCCACATGCCTCAGGATCTCCTGCGGGGGGCGACAGTGAGTCACAGATGGTAAGTCTGGGATGGTCATCTTTCCCAGTGCTCAGTGGTGCAATTTAACCATGCACTGTCCTTTCATCCAAAGGCATATACTCTATAGAAAAGGATACGTAGTTACTGTGCACCTGCAGCCCCACTCACATGTTTAGGCAGAGGAGAAATAGAAATATTATAATAAAAATGTGAAGGAGTAGCCAATGGCTCTTGCAATCTCCCTTCTATTTCTTCACATTCTTTCATTTTTTACATTCTTCTGCTTGTTGTCTCTCCCCCACAGCAAGACTAGCAATGAAGGCAAAACGTCCTCTGCATCAACTATGTTAACCAGTGGAAGCTGAAAGGTTTCAAACATGCTGTTATTACAGGAGCCTCCGGGGCAGTGGGACAGACCTGCACGTCCAGGTCCAGGCGATAGTTGAGATCTCCAAACCAGAAGAGGTGAGTGAACCGCAGGCTGATGTCAAAGTAGCTCAGCTGCCTGTCGCCCAGGGACAGCAGCCTCAGGATGTCCTGAAGATTCTGGTTCCTCCTGTGGGCACACACACACACACACACAGCCCCTTATTGAGCTCCTGGGCTACAGGACAGCGTAGGGTCTGAGCCAGGATCACAGAGACAACCTGAGCCAACAGCCTTACACCAGCAGTCCCTGAGCAGCTCGGTCCTGATACAAGGAGCTGAGAATCCCCAGCTGTAGAAGGTCCATAAGCAGACCACGCAGAATGCCACTGTGACCCAGAGCGCCATGAAAGTGTGTCAGCTGGGTATGACTGGTGCTCACCCCCTGCCTTGGCGAATGTACCTGAGGGTTTTCTCGCTGCCGGAGGTCAGGTGGCAGTTGACGAACCCAAAAGAGGTGCCGTTGAAGTGGAAAGAAACGCCCACCGCGCCCTTGTTCCCTGGAAGCACAAGCAGGGGTAAAAAACACCCAGAACTTACATCTGGAGCCTCCAGACACTGCAAAACGTGAGCTTGCAGCCCCACCCGAGGCACAGGGATCTCAAACGTCCCGCAAGGGGACAAAGGATATCAGCCCACCAGCAAGCTCAAAACTGTTGCAGATGACTGCACGGGATTGGAAGACTGATGGTGTTCACACGGCATTTTTCATTTTGCTGAAAGCAGCTGGGAACAGTGCTACAAGAGATGCCGTGTAGTTTCTGAAATTTTGATTATCAGCCCATCGGGTCAGAAGGAAATTTCTTTGTTGTTTTTAAGCTGCTTGGCTTTAGCTTGTCAGACCAAAGAATCTGATGGGAACCAGTGAGGAAGAAGGAAGGCTGACTAACAGAACCAATGTTTGTTGATGAATTATTTAAGATACTGCTGTAACACAGTCACAGTCCTGTATGACCTCAGTTTCCAGGAATTTAGTAAACCCTATTACGCAATGTGCAACTGGGCTCACTATAGAGTTACAGACTGAGTGGCCTGTGTCTTTCAGAGATTAACTCAATTCAGCCTACATTCTCTTTGCCTAACAGCCTTTTCATTTCAGTATGATCTGAATTGATCGATATTTCAGGCCTCTGCTTCTTGTGATTGCCCTGCTGGTCGGCGCTTGGTGCCAACCTGAAGCCTGTCAGGCAGGTCTTATGGTTCCCTACCTAGCGTGTTGCCCAGGCCAGTCTTCACGCCCGCCGTACTGACATGGCTGATGCGGTTCTCATGCTCTGGTTTCACAAACACTGCCAGCCTGATATTCCACAGGGACTGCAGCGCCACCTGCAGGACACAGGGAGAGCAGCGGCCGGGAATGGCTCAGTGCACAAGACAGTAGTCATCACATCTGCTGATCATGAGTCTTTCACATGCAACACCGCTGATACGGACAGAGTAGATCAAAACCAATAGCCGATGTCATTAAGAAGTAATGCGGAAATCAAAAACATAGTACATTTGGAGAAAGACATATCTGAAAATCATTTTTAGTATCAGACGCAGGTATGTATTAGTGTTTTGTATGAGTGAGTTGGGGTGGGGAGGGGTGCACACTTGGCATTTAAGAATGACAACACACAGAGGCTTTTCAGAAGTGTCTGGGCCCCTGGTTACAGATGCCAGCAGCTCCTTGTACCCGGGCAGCCAGAGCGTCATTCACTCTTGTGGGTCTTGGGTGTGCTGGGACAGGAGACACTCCTGCACCCCCCAGCAGGGAAGAGGACTGCACTTTCCCACTGAGCCCGTGCTGATCTGTTGACGCTGAAGAGCTCGGGTGGAAACGCAAGCAGAAAGGCCTGGAGCCCCCTGAGGAGGGCAGGTGAGGATTGCAGCGCGTGTGCCCCCTGTCCTACAGAGAAGGGGGAAGAGGGGGTGGGGGCAGCGCTGACCATCTTGTAGTCGATGTGGGTCAGGGTCTTCAGCGTGGCCTTCAGCTGCTCGGCCCACTCCCTCTCCCCCTGCGGGTTCTCCTGAGTGCCGATGGCGTAGACATCGTGAGGCAGCGCCGCCGTCGACTCGTCCGGAACTCGGCCCAGGCCGGAGCAGGACACCCAGGACAGCAGAGGGCTGGGGGGCGGGGAGCCGCCTGGACATGGCAGGACAGGGCAGGACAGGGCAGGACAGGAGGGTAGAGTCACACACAGTATGAGTGCACACACTCACATGCCCACCACAGCTTGTCTGCATACTGCATCTCTGCATATGTACTCTGAGTACAGGAGGCAGCATATTAGCCAAGATATTCCACCACCTACTAAAACTATACCTTGAGCTGCTCTAGTGACCATATCTGGTGCTGGGAAATTTGAGATCTGAAATGATAAGAATCCCTCCAAAGAGGGAGAGATGAGGTCTCGCAACAGGCTGACTAGACTTCGGGCATCAGAGGGACAGATATCTGCAGTCAACTGTGTTCAAGATCAGACATGACAGGACTACTTCCTGTTTGCCACCCTCTGCTGTTCTCTTTATAATTGAAGTTCAAAGCTCAAAGATAAAATACAATGTATCTTGGAGATGCAGAGGAATTTCCTACAGAAAACAGCACCATAGAGATCGGGGTTTGGTAAATTCCCGTTCTGTTAATACATAGGTGTTTAATTTTCGTATGTACTTTTAAGCTTTTACGTGCTCTAAATTTGTTCCAACATGACCAAGCGCTCATAAGCATACGACGATCCATGGATTGAACAGTACTGCCATCTCACCCATGTTCCAGGTGCCCACGAAGACAGAGATGACGTCGGGCTCACTCTGCGGGGAGTGCCTCATCTTCATCAGCTGCAGCAGCTGGCAGAAGGCCTCCCGTTTCTGATACGAGGAAGGAGAAAGAGAGACGGTGAAGCGTTTTCTCTGTTTCTCAATGCTCGGCTTGCTCCAAGCTAGTGAGATACCAGAAAGCACAACCTGTAGAACCAACTAATTGGTCTCAGCCTGAAGGTCCTGTCAGATGTCAAGGCAAAACAATGACAAGAGCCCAGATCGCTGTGGTTGTCTTCTCTTGTAAGTGCTATCCTGTCATGGAAACTATAGGACTACAGTGCGTTTAAAGCTGTGAATAGGAAGTATTTTCACGAAGGGTTTTGGGAGAATGGAACTTGCTGATAGGTCCCTCGACTGGGACCTTTCTTGTATGCCTCTGTTCTAAATACCTTCAAGTCAAAACCATCAAGTAAAGACTGCCTTAAATTTTAAGTGCCTGACAGAAGCATGCCACTCTTGTTTCTGAAATCTGAAAGGGTAGATGTCACTGTGGGCACACAACTGAAGCACAATCAGAGTCTAGGTGGTGGCAGGTTTGCGGTGGTTGAGATTATAAATTCTTTGATCCTGCTTAGTGCCATGGTATCCAGGCAGGAGACAGAAAGCATAAGAACATAAGAAGGGTTATCAATCGGTCTATCTCTCCTGATCGGACAGTAAAGGTCAGGAAAGGACAGCCCAGCGTGAAGGAGAGGGGAGTGGGGGGGTCTGCTCACCCGTGCGCTCTCGAACACTATCTCCCTCTGGGACGTCCTGTGGCCGGCCAGCACCATCCGCAGCCTGGTGGGGGCGCTCTGGAGCTTCACCAGCTGCAGAACTGACACAGGCGGGCACCGTTAGGAGCTGGTGCTAGCTTCTCTCAGACCACAGCGGAAAAGAACGGCAGTAGGAGACGCGTGCAGGCGTGAATCAGGGCTGGCCAGCGCTATCAGCCGGAATACAGGTGTGCTGAGAGGCAGTAGTTTCGGGGAAGGGGAGAGCCGGAACACGTGCCACACGTACTCACTCTTGTCATGCGGTACTCTCTCCTCACAGCCGACTCCAGGCTTTTTGTCAAACACCAGCAGGCCGGCGTCCACGTCCACCAGCAGGGCCTGTCTGCCGCAGTGCACCACCTTCACCTGGGACACACAAACACACAGGCGCGCTGACTCGGGCTCTGGGCCCGCTGGCCTCCCCCACCCTCACGCTCTGCCTCTCAGACTTCGAAATCCCACCCCCCCAGCATCGCCAAACATGTCTGTCCAAGGAGGTAAAAGAAGACGGCTGTCTTAATTTATTTGATTTGGGTTTCTTGGTGTGTGGGCTCATCAGCAGTGAGCAGGATGGCTCATGGCCGAGATCAGTCGTCATGGTGCTGCCACTGTGACCCGTGCGCTGAACTTTACACCCTTGCTTACTGAATTGCCCCAGCTCAGAGAATTAAAGATTAACTGGAAAAAAGAGATTTGCAATGTAAGGGAGGTGCCAAGGTAGCTTAATGCTGTGTTATTCTGACCCTGTGGTGGCAGGGGCTCCTGTGACAAGAGGAGACACGGCCTTCACTAGCAGCACTGCCTGCCTGCCCTAATCCTATTTAATCCACAGCTGAAGTGCCGCCTAATTCGGCTGGACACATCCCTGTGTATTCCTGATTCCGAAGCTGCAGCACGTGCTCAGGGACTTTTTCACTTTTTCAACTCAATGAAGAATTTCTAAGACACTGGTCAGTCTGCACACAGGAGGTGCCGTCTGTTTCAGGAAGATGCCGAGCACTGCGCTGTGGCTCGCGGGCAGGCAGCCGCGGGTGAGCCTGCAGGAGCCCCTTCACTCACCTGGAAGGTGTGGACGGCTGTGGGCGGGGCTGGCTCGGGGGGCGGGGCCGCCTGCGAGGCCAGGTTGTGATTGGACACTGCCTCCTGCAGAGCCTTCAGCACCTGCACAACAGGTAAAAACTGCTGAGACGGCTCTTTCACTCACCCCGGATTCCACATCGCTCCTCACCAGCTGAGCCAGGGCACACCAGCTAGAGCTGTGTCCTCTGAACGTACTCACCGGCTAAAGAGTTTCTAGAGGCTATTTATTCAGAAACCCTTCTAGCATGATGTTCGGTGGCAGAGTCCATCAGAGGCTTTCTGAGGTGCACTGTCTGTGGCTCTCCTTTCATCACACCAATCACTGGGGCAAAGAGAGTTACTTCCCCACAAGGTACCAGGTCAGCTGCCTGATCAGAGAAGTGCTTTGGGGTTTTGAAACTTGTCAGTATTTCATTCAGACACAGGACAGCCTTTGGCAGTTCAGACAAAGCCTGGGACTTGTCACTATTAAATTGACTGATTTGAGTTCACATTTTACTGTCAAATAGAACTACCACCTCTTATCTTCATATAAGGGTTATGATGGGTTTGTGTGAATATGTTTCAGGTGCTCCAGTTTACTTCCAGAGACATGCAGGTATGATTAGCTACTGTAAATACTGCAGCCCCTGTCTGGGGGTCTCCAGTGGTCCTTTGTGGTCAGTCAGCCACAGCTTTCAATCGATGCTACAGTAATTCCCCTAAGGTAATATGAGCCCCTGGGAGAGTCTAGTTGCTTTATTGCATAGGCCCCAGTACCTTCTTTTCCAGGGACGAAAGCAGGCTGCACAGGGCTGAAATCTTACAGATCAGGCTATCCAGATCCAAGTCTCCCCCCTTTCCTGTACCCTGGGAGAGGGAGAACAAGAAGGAAATGGCCAGAGGTCATCTTTACAAAGGACAGACCAAAGGAGTCAAAAGGAGGCACAGAGAGAACAGAAATGTTGTTCATAAGGATGAAAAAAAAAACCCAAAAAGATTATGAGAGATTATAGATGGAGAAGAGATGGCTCACTAAACAATAGACATTAAGTCACTTAAATGGACAATAAACCTATTAATCCCAAGAAAGAATATAGCTCTGAATCAGAAAGAATTCCTCCTCATGTCCAGTTATTATAAAGACTGTTGTTCTAGAACACAGACAGTTCAAGGAAAACAATAGTTACTGTCCCATGTCACACTACTGTAAAAACTCAATGAAATGTATTTGCATCACATAATTCTATGCTTCTATTTTGCTTGATAAAAAGCGGCAATCGCAACTTTTGCAACAATGTGAAAAAATAATAGAGGATAAAACACATTATCTTTGAATAACCGTAATACCTGTACATAGGTATACATAAATATTATTTTCTGGCTTATTTCTGTGTAAAGTACAGGCAACATCATGTAAAGCAACAATTTGTGTTCGATTCTAGACAAATTAGCAGGCTAGTTTCGCTGTGAACAGTAGAGGGCGCCTCAAGACACGTTTTTCACAGCAGAGATGTATCTTCTGATACAGTTGTCAGAGGAAAGAGTCCCTGGCATAGTTAATTCTTATTTTACTTCACTGGAAACAAACTGGTCTTTGAATGGCGGAACAAATACAACAAAAAAGGGATTTTAGTCAATGATTGTGTTCCATGGATGCAGAACTCTTTCTTACTGTGAAAGAAAACCTCTGAGGTACTAACAGTCTGAGGTACTAATTGTATTGGACTTGTTTCTTACAGCTCTGCACGTTTTCTGATTAGGTTTGTCCAGACAGAACCTGTGCGCACAGGTCATCTCGGGCCAGGAAATGATCATTTCTGGGGGAGAAACTGAGCTGCAGACATCTGGGCCCGAGGGTGCTAGGAAAGGCTTACCTGTGACCTGGAGGAGGTGAGGGGGCAGCTGGGATGGTCAAACACTTTGGCCAGCGTCTCCAGACTGGAAAGGGTCAGGTCAATCTCACTGCAGGCAGATGGAGAGCTGATCAGAGAGCATGATCCTGGCTACTGTAACAGTTCACCACTGGGCCTCTGGCCCCAGTGCCACCAGCCCTGCCTGCAGGGGCTTGGCACAGACCCGCAGGGACAGAGCAGGCCCCTGGGCACCATGAGGGCAGAGACAGTTCTGGGGCTTTGCCGAGTGTGACCAGACACTAGCTGAACTTTGGACACAAGCTGAACGCTGGACCCAAGCTTCTGCGGGATTCAATCACTTGTTCTCCGGCACTGAAGGGCTGCAGGGGACAGCAGAAGCAGCCTCAACCAATGATGTAGAGCCCTGCTGCAACTAGTCAATCAGTTTTTTCTCCTCCTTGACATGCTCTTCTAATAGCAAGAACATACACGTTTATCACAGCCATGGAATCGGGAGGTAATGCCTAGTGCCTTAGCCCAGGGCTGAACCAATGACCCAATGACTTAAATACAGAGGTGTGACTTCCAAATGACATTTCTCTCCCCGGCAATTCTAAATAAAGTCAGCATCAGCATGGAAAGTGAAAAGGAAAATGACACATTGCTTAAAATATTTTAGAATTTGCTCCCAATTCAGGAGCTGTTAGAGGAGAGCCTGTTCAGTAGTGAAATAGAAACCTTTGAAAGTTCTGTAGTTTTCCAGAATGTTTTATTATGGTTGCGGGGAATCCCGCCTTCCTGTGGTGATTGTGACCCCTTTAGGTGGCAGTGTGTAAGTGCATGCTGGTACCTGTGCAGACCCTGGCAAGCACTGCTCAGTGTCCTGTTGAAGAAGAGCAGGCTGGACCCCCCCTTGCGCAGCCCGTCCAGGTCCAGCAGCATCTCATTCCGCAGGTACTCGCTCAGCGGGCCAATCACATCCCTCGACACACTGCAGTCACAGGAACACTGTGAGCCAATCACATCACTCGACACACTGCAGTCACAGGAACACTGTGAGCCAATCACATCACTTGACACACTGCAGTCACAGGAACACTGTGAGCCAATCACATCCCTCGACACACTGCAATCACATGAGCTCTGAGAGCCAATCACATCATTTGACACACTGCAATCACATGAGCTCTGAGAGCCAATCACATCGCTCAACATGCTGCAATCACAGGAGCAGTATGAGCCAATCGCAGGGCTCAACAGGAACAATACCACTACCATAAGTAAATCAGCTAATGAAAGTCCTAAACATGATGTTTCTGCATTTAAGCAATTGAAATGACTTGAGTGCCTTTTAACTGAATTGAATAGTGGGGATGTCTAGCTGCTCAGCAATTCAACACTCACAGGAGTTTGTAAAACATAACGTCACTGCTGACGCATTTGGATCTGACTAAAAGCCAGCGGTCAGAGAGAAGGATAGAGATTCTAGTCCTGCCCTGTTTCTGTACCTGCCAGTACAGGAGTCCTGCAGTCTCTGGAGGAAGAGGAGGTGGGGGCCCGGTAGGCTGGGGCAGGAAGCTGTGGCTGCTGAGCTGGCTGTGGCCTGCGCTGGGCTCTGACTCCTGACCACACCAGGCTTCTCATCTTCACCGTCTGCAGGAGGGGAAACAGAGTCACCGGGGCCTCTCCCAGTGTCTGATCTGCCCCACTTCACCACACGGGGTATTCCAACTCTGTCACCACAACCACGAAACCACCACAGGTCACAACTGTGTAGAACATGCCTCATTGAGCTAGCGTGCGTGTGACCTATCACCAGGCACAAAGCAGAGGAGAGGAGAAGCACACCATTACGTTGTATCTGGGGTGCTCATTCTAATGACAGGGTCTTTTAAATCCATTACCTGTCATTTATGTGACACACAAGCGAACCACTGGAAGACCGAGTCTCCGCAGGTCTGAAGTTTCCCTACTCTGACGCGAGGGTTCAGAAACCACCGCAGTCTGAGAGCGTCCAAGACGGGCCCTCACCTGAGCCCTCGTTCCCTGACTCAGCCTCGCGCAGCACGGGGTACCGCAGTGGGGTCACCAGGCCCTTGTGGGGCTGCTGGTACCCCAACACCAGGTCCGCCAGCGTCCGGAAACAGTTCGCCTGCACCCCCTGGGACGTCTGTAGGATAAAGTCACCCATTATTCTGACACAGTGCTGTCAGCAGAAAACAGGTTTTACACACTAATGGCAAAGGAAGAGCTTTTCAGTGCCTGTCTAATACTTTTCTATTATTACATAGAAATAATGTAATAATGTTGTGGGAGAGTGGAACAAGCTGCCCAGCCATGTCGTGGATGCCAAGAACTTGGTTTCTTACAAGGAGCAGCTGGATGAGGTTCTGGGATCAATTAGCTACTAATTACCGAATGGACTAAATGGGACACATGACCTCTTGTTGATACCTTTCTGACAGCATGTTCTTATTATTAAGCTGTTGCTTCTGACGATGATTATGGTGATTAGAATTATTACTATAAAATTATACTGGCTTTATTTCTTCAGAGTGGAAGAGCTATAATTTTACATCCTGGGTTAATAATGATCAAATACCTTCTAGTCTTGGTGCTGTTATTTTCAAGTGCCTCGTTCAGTGGACAGCTGGCTCTTTATAGTGCCAAAAAAAAACAGGACTGGGGGTGACACCCCCTCACTCACTAAGCCCCAGTTGGAAAGTGCACCAGAGCATTAAACAACAGCCAACTCAGATAAACTGATTAAAATGGATAACAAGTATTGACTAAAATGACCCTGTACAATAGAACAGTTTTATGTCCCTTTATTCCGCACATTATGACACATGTAGCTCATGCAACTGTCCCATGAGCTGCTCCAATCAGTAGAAAGGAGATGTATAAACTGGTATTGAGGCCACTTTTTTAAAATGACTGTGTGTTACCGGAAACATCTGACTTTTCAGCATGTGGTTTATGCTCTGAAGAGCAGCTGTTGTTCTTTTTTTTGTGCTAAATTCATATGTGGCGATTCATTCTGCTCATCCATTGCAAACGAGGAGAGATGGGTCCCCTGGGTTTCTGCGGCCCAGGCTGGGCTCTGGAACGGAAGTTCAGAGGTGCGGGGTTCTCTTTTGGAGGAAACAAGAAGTGGCTAGATCTCTGTGTGTGCTGAAGAGAGAACCAGTCCATCTGAAAGTCCAGCTGTCTGCCTAGGAGACGATGTCAAAATCAGCCACATCCTGCAGTCTGCCAGCACTGGGAAACTGCAGAGCGGGACTCCGTGTGACAGCTCTGTCTGTGCGCCGCACTTCCACATGAAGCCCACTCACTGAGCAGAGCCACACTGCTTTCTGCTAAAGCTTCGAACTAACAATATTAAAAATGGAAATATCAAATTGAATGTTTTGCAGATATTTCAGTACTCATACATCCATAAAGGCAGTTCACAATTCAGAACATGTTTTTGTGATGTCCAGAAATTATTTACTTCTATTTTCTGCTATTCTCTGGCATTTCAAGCCATGTTGTATCCTGGCTACAGATAGTACAAAATGTTGTGGTCAGGCTTTTAACTAAAACTAAAAAGTATGACCATATTACATATGTGCTAGCACCCTTGCATTGGCTTCCAGTGTAATCCAGGATTGATTCCAGCCTGAATGGCTTTGTTCCCTTTTACCTACAGATACTCTTAATTGTATATGTTCCTGGGTGGCCTCTGTGATCCCAGGACGCCGAGCTGCATAATGAATTTAAAAACTGATATTGATGGAGGCCTTCAGTTGCAGAGCTCTTGCATTCTGGAACGATTTCTCTATTTGTGGACATAAAGCACCAGCTCATTTTTATAATCTTCTTTCTTCATAAAAACATTTGTGTTTTCATTTGATTGTCCTTGTGGTTTTATTGCTTCATTGTTCTTGTTCTAATTGCATTTCTTCCTGTGTTATTCTTTATAGCAGTTTTAGCTTTTATAGCTATAAATCTAATTAGCTTTAGTATTTACTGTTTATATGCCTGCTACTTTATTACTTTAGAAATGTCTTTTTAATGCACAGTGCTTTGAATCATAAATTTTCTGCAAGATATGCTCTATTAAGTGAAGTCTGATAGCACCAGTTGTGTTGTATAGACAGTGCAAAGGAATGTACTGTACATGCAGTTTTGTGGGATGGTTTTTATGTTGTTTTTGCTGGGGTTACTTAAGAACAGACAGTGCTGCTCATTAAAAAGAGAGGCCCCGCAGCTCTCTGGAACAAACACAGCACATCTTATACTCTCTTTACTGCTGTGGACATGCTCTTCAACTCTCATATGACCAAGGTTGATATTTCATTAAGGAGAACATTATTTTTCTTTTCCAGAGGAAAGCCTCCTGCTCAATAGTTGCAGGCAATCCAAAGTTTGTATTTGCAGGTGCTATGTAAAAACCACATCTGACCTCTGGGGGTACTTCTCATCAGTTAGTTTGCACAGTTGGGCTGGGATTACGATTCTTGCAACTTAAATAAATGATGCGAGCATTCGGTTTAAACATGATTTCCCTCTTCTGTTAAAACCACTGTGTATCGCACTCTCTTATAATGCAAGCAGTGATTCAAGGCAGATGTAATTATGTACTAACCAATACTGACCCAGTTCTAAGGGTCCAGTGTGGCCAATATCAGGCCAATGGTGATACAGTTATGAATGAGGTTATGGAGACAAAGCCTTCAGTCCACTCCAGCTACAGTGTATATGCACTGCAATTTTATCTGTAACATCTTTTTACTGTACATCACCTTGTACAATTCTTTCTTGTTAAATACATAAGATAAGGAGACATACTGTAAGTAGAGTTAAAAAAGAAACACAGATAAAGAAGGACTGACCTAATTGTCCTTTTCATTGAAAACAGGCCATTCATGTGGGCTAAAAGTGGTCAGCTCTGAGTTCAGCCGTAACCAAGCTGACTCACTGTTTGTGTCAGCCCAGTGTTTGCTGGTTGTCTGGGGGCAGTTTTCACATTATTTCAATGGGACACCCTTTTCTTTAAAAAAAAACTCCAGAGTTCTCTCAACACAGAAAAGAGAAACAGCCCATCAGCACTTACCTGAACTGCCAGCAGTCCCTCCTCGTCAGGCAGGATTCGGTAAGTGTGGACATGACGCTGGAAACTGTGAGGACAATAATAGCCAGTATTACCACACTCCTGCTTCCCGCCTGCTAAACGCTACTACAGGAGGACTAGTGAGCTTGTAAAAAACACTGACAGACAAGCCAGTAAACAGGAAACGATTAACAAGCACAGGCTGGTGTAAAACGTCCATGCATTTTCATTCTTTACTCTGACTCATTCTTCAAAATAGAGCTTGAAACCTATTCATGCTTCCCAAATATGTCTGGTAAACCCAACACCCATGTGATGTTTGTGCAGAGTTCCTCATGTTTGTAAAACAGCATATTACTCCCAATATCAATATAATATCAAAACTAGCTGTCTTAGTCCTGTTTAGGGCAGAACAGACAGGTTCAGAAACATGGATTTCCAAAATTTAGCAGGACCCTCATTTAAAGAAGGCAATCCAGATTTTGTATTTAAGTTCTCAGGGGAACTAGACCTTATTTTCTCTACAATTTGAAGAAACAAGCATGCAGGCAAAATTAACACATACATTTATGTATTACCTAGATGGCATTTTCAATAGTTTCAGAATGTTTTAAGGAATTAATATATAAAATAAAAGAATAAGTGGTTTGTGTGTGCTTGTGTGGATATGAATCAGTGGTGACCGCAGGCTCTTAAATTCATTCTGCAAAAACTGTTTGAAACGTCTGCAGGGATCATCTTCCAGGAATGCTGCTGCTGGAGAGAGTCCGAGTGGAAAGTGTGCAGGACAGCAGCCAGAGCACACTCCCTCCAGCAGGGCCAGGCTGGGCTTCAGGGCATCTCTCTGCTTTCCCCCTGTGTGTGTGCCCCTGTCCCCCTGCACACTCTCCACACCCTCCACTCCCTGAACACTCTCCACACCCTATACACCCTCCACACCCTCCACTCCCTGAACACTCTCCACACCCTACACACCCTGAACACTCTCCATACTTTCCACAACCTCCACACCCTTCACTCCCTGAACACTCTCCACACCCTCCACTCCCTGAACACTCCCCACACCCTCCACACCCTCCACTCCCTGAACACCCTACACTCCCTTATCCCTCTCCACACCCTGAACACTCTCCATACTCTCCACACCCTCCACTCCCTGAACACTCTCCACACCCTACGCACCCTCCACTCCCTGAACACTCTCCACACCCTACACACCCTCCACTCCCTGAACACTCTCCACACCCTACACTCCCTGAACACTCTCCACATCCTTCACACCCTCCACACTCCCTGAACACTCTCCACACCCTCCACACCCTGAACACTCTCCATACTCTCCACAACCTCCACACCCTTCACACCCTGAACACTCTCCACTCTCCACACCCTCCACACCCTGAACACTCTCCACACCCTACACACCCTCCACTCCCTGAACACTCTCCATACTCTCCACAACCTCCACACCCTCCACTCCCTGAACACTCTCCACTCTCCACACCCTCCACTCCCTGAACACTCTCCACTCTCCACACCCTCCACTCCCTGAACACTCTCCACTCTCCACACCCTCCACACCCTGAACACTCTCCACCCTCCACACCCTCCACACCCTCCACACCCACCACACTCTGTCTTCACTGTTTACTACCCTGCATCCTGCAGAAACAGATCCTTCTGCTGCTCTAGAACACAGCTGGCTCTGTGTTCTGGACCCTGCGTACTTATTGAACATCCAATCCCAGACAGTCACGTCAGAAGAGTTAATTCACTCCAGAACTAACTCACAGGCAGAGGCCAGGATTTTATTACGAGGCCTACACTCACACAAGTTCATTGCTCTAGATCTCGTTCACACACATGCTGGCGATAAGCAGGGGCTGGCACTGGGCAGTTACTCACAGCAGACAGAGGGCGTAGGCTCCAGGCACTGACTCGCTGTCCCGCACCAGGAAGCTACCGTCTCTCCCTGCCCTGGCCAGCAGGTCCTCTGCCTGCACCCGACTGATGTCCCGGTGGTACCACGCTGCCATCGCCATGGCAATACCCACTAGAGATGCAGGCTAGACAGGTCTGGAGCAGGACCGGGAGGCTCTCTCGGTTTGCAGCAGCCGCTGAGAGGGATCTCCATCCGGGACCCCCCGTGAAGCAGCGAGACGCAACACTCCTGAGAACCCACTGGACTCGTGTCTCCCACGAGGACCCAAACTCCTGAGCCCAAATGGCACTGTGTTCCTGGGTACCGGCGCTGGTTAGCATCCGCTGAGTGACAGAGGAAACCACTTATACATCATCAGCCATCTTCACTCACTACGAGACAATGCAGTGCAAAGCACGCAGGGAAGACAAAGCAAAATGACTCCGATCCAGACAGCAGCCCTTGTCTTTGGATTGATCTGCTCCCAGACGAGAGCTGCACCTCTCAGCCGGCGTCGGGACTCTCCTACGCCAGCCCACGACGGAGCGCAGGTGCAGGTTTTTTATTTAGGGGAACTGTTGCCATCCATCCGAATTTGCATCTCGTCCCCTCAATTCGTAGGGCTGCCCGAGGCAGCAGCTGAATCAAGAAAAGAAACGAGGCTCTTCTTTTGCAGCAAAGCGAAAGAGCAGACCCAAACAACCCGCTAGGAAGAAAAAAAACTTTCTATGCAAAGCCCATCCTACCAGTCCTGGAGACGTCACTTAGGACGCAGCTTTTTAAAAGAACAGCAAAGTCTTTTAGCACAACTTGACAAAATGTGTGATTCCTGCAATTTCTCTATATATGGGCGTGGAACGCCCCTATGAAGTTCAGCTGACTGCTGTACTTCTAGTATGGCGCCCCGGGGCTGATCAGTAACTCATGCTCAACCCCCCCCCGGCCTCCTGGGACTCGTCTCCGGTCTCTGCACCCTTCCCCTCTCCCAGAGGCAGCGTGTCTCTGGAGCTCTCTCACGCATCTGCCGCGGAGAGGAACAACAGCTGCCTGCCCACGAACAGCACGGGGAGAGGAAACAGCTCTCAGCTCTGGAAGGAAAAAAAAAAGCCAACAGCACAACCTCGCTCTGGGTTCACCTCTGCATTTGAGAAAATCCTGGCGCACCTCCGTGCTGTGACCTCTCTCCAGCTGAGCACGACACCTGGCTGCTCTGTCACCTCCTCCCCTCCAGCAACAGCTACCAGCCCAGGTGGGGCGGCCCGGCTTGCCTCTGTCTCACTTTCACTTTCTTCTCTTCCAACTTTTTTTTCCTCTGCTTGTTTTTCTTCCTTCTCTCCTCCCCCTCCCTCTCTCCCTGGTCTCTCCTGCTGGGTACACAGAGGCGGCGGTGCAGCAGTTCTCCATATGGCTATGATCATCCCTCACTTTGGTTTCCAGCCTCTGCTTTTCTGCCCCCCCTCCCCACCACCCCGCCCCTCCTCCCACTCTTCTCCTCTCACAGCCCTGCGTCTGCAGGCGCCCAGACTCTGCTGCCTCTCTTTCGCCAGCGACTCGCGGCTATGGCCCCAGACCTCTCTCTCCTCCTGCCTGAGCAGTCTGGTCTCGCTCTCCGGCATTTTCTCGGCCGGCGCTCGTTTGGGGCTGTTCTGCCTCTCTGGGTGTCCCGGGATGTTGGAGATATCTGTGCTGCTCCTTGCCCTGTCCTGCTTTCCAAAACCATCAGCTCCTTCAGTTCTGGTTGGATTTGAAGACAGTACAGGGGGAGGAGGTGGGGGGGAGAGAGGATCTGGACTCCGAATACATTTCCTCCCAGCAGTTAGGACCTCAGGTGTTTGTGGTGAAGCATAACTGACTGTGACACAGCGCACAGATGATACTTTTGTTTTCGTTCACCTCAGGGCACTTCCTGCATCCTGGTGTCATCTGGGAGAAAGGGCCGGGAAGGCAAGTCTTACATCAGCCTCCAACGCGCCAGTCATACTGAGCAAAGCAGAGAATTAGAAAACTGCTCTCGAGTGGAGATCTGCATCAGTGAGCAAAGGAACACACGAAGGTTAATTCCACACTGAAAAACAGAAAAATAGAAGTGTTTCGCCTTTCTGTTTTTCAAAGTAGAATTAACCTCTTCACTGTGTATCATATTATGGGGATTATAATAATTAGAAATCCTACCAAAGCCAGGACAGGATGAACATCCATAAAGTGAACTCCAGAAAATTCATATTATATTTATTCCATGCCCTTTAATGGGATTTTACTAAGTATGTCCAATGAGCCATGTCATGGGCAGGGGGCTGACAGAAAGGTGAACAAGATAGGTGTCTAATCATCCTTTGCCTGGGCAATGTCAATTTGCTTTCAAATTGCAGATCCTTGTCATGTGGGATTCAGTCCTGTTCCTCTTCTCTGTTCACTGGTCTCTCAGCTCCAGATGTTGTCCCAGTTCACCTCACAAAGGTTCAGTGGAGCTCAAGTCTGGTCAGTAGGACTATCATATCATAAGTTCACATTTCCCAAAAAAGCCATTTCAGCAGAGTAGCATGAGGACTTCTAGATTGTTGTCCACGTCCTGCAGGAAAGATGGATGAAAGTCAGGATGAGACTACAGGAAGAGCAGTCAAGTCCCAGGACTTGATCAATGTAGCACCACATGGTCAGGCTGCCATCTATCACTATACATGGAGCTCTGCAGTGCCTAGACGCTGTCAGCCATATCATCACACACCAAACCTTGATTCTTCATGAAGATGACTTGATTCACTGCTGGTGAGCGTTGCTCATGCCATCCCAATCTGTAACGTAGTTGAACACTGGTGAGCTCTGGGCCCCTGTGTGGTCACCTGTACTGGAAACCACAGCTGTTTAACTGCCTCTCCACACTTGAGCTGCTGGTGTGCAGTTTGTGGTGCCCTGGAGTGTCCGATGCCGTGGAACTGGCAGTGTAAAAAACGATCATGAAGATGGACAATGCTGAAATGTCAAACTTAGTGAGGTGTCTCATGAAAAATAAATGCAAAAATTCATAAAAGAATGGGCAAAGCACTTTACCAATTGCGGGAGGTGAGTGTGACTAACCCTTCACTTCAAAAGAAAAGGTTCTGTATTCTGACGTAATTATGGTTTTAACCGGACGCAGCCTCTATCTCTCTGTCTGTAATGGTCAACAATCTAGAGGGCTTTGCAAGACATTGTCACGATTGTAGTCCTTCCCCCTTAAGGGCGCTCCGGCTTGTTCACATTTTAGTTGATTTTGTGCACCTGCTCCCTGTTCCTGCCTCCTTACAAAAGCCAGACGCTCACTCTGTTCCGGGCTCTGCATTGGATTCCTGAACCAGCCCAATCCGGGACCTGGAGCGCCTGGTTTCCCGCCCCCCCCAATCCCTTCCGGATTGTGTTGTCTGCATAGGGTCCTGAAAGACGCTTCGTAAAGGACATACTGTAACCTATACTGTCCAGAGGAGTGAAAAAAGTCTGATAGAGGGATAACCTGTGTTTTTTAAGTTTGTATGTACTTAGTTTTCCATCTCAGTGCTGTTAACTGTTACCCGCTACCCTCTCAAGTGCCACAGAATTGTTTTGTGGTGTGTGTTTCAAAAATAAATCATTTCATAACTTCAGGATTTTGGTTATCGCCTTAGTTGATGGGAACTGATTACTGCCTTTTATTATGGGCCAAAATAAAGTCTCTGTTTCGAGAAATCTATTTTGGAGAGAGCTTAGCCATAAGTTGATTAGAGTGAGTTCTCTACTAGAGCCGTCTCCTTCAGCTAACACATGCTGCGAAAGATACTAGAAGCTCTTTTTTAAGCAGTTGCATTTTTTTCTGAATACTAAAGGATCCCAACCTTGCTTGTCCATTGCTAGAGTGTCCAGGTTTAGAATTTTGAGACAAAAAAACAAAGATGTACTCACCCCCAATAAATTACTCAGTCTGGGACTTTATTGTATTAACTAGAGATCAATCATATTATTTTATGAAATAGACCAGAGTGCAGTAATACAAATTCATCTAATTTTCTTATTAAGCAGTGAACTTAATGTCTTCCTTGGAAAGAAAGTGGATTCTAATTAAAAAGCTAACAGGAATTACATTTGAAAGTATTGTATGCATTATACTGAAAACATGTCTGGGGAGCAGTAGTTAGTACTTGTAACCTGAAGGCTGTCAAATCCCATGTCAGATACTACTGTTATCTGTTATACCCTCGAGCATGCCACTTCACCAGTACTGTATAAATGTGTGTAAAAGTACATTGCTTTAAATAAGTTTATATATCTTATGTTTTTCTTTTCCCTCCTCCCCTTCATTCTGGGGGGTCTCCCTTGGGCTGTGTGTAAATAGAAACGATGCAAAATGTCTTGTTTCTGTGGTACAAGAACATGCAAAACGGCTCACATCGGCCTGCGAATAATAACATCTGCTTTATCACTGAATACCAAGTCTCTCTCCGCAGAGATGCTAGAATAATTGTGCACAAGCTTGACTGCTGGATGTGTTAAGAGAAATAATAATGGGATTTTATTCATAACATTTCAGACCAGTAAATAAACAGAAAGGCAGTTCTTAAAATAACATCGGCTTAATTTATCCTGGCAAACAATGTATTCGGTAAATACCCCAGTGTGTTGTGGACATATAACCAGACATGAACTCATCTAAGAAGGCCAGGTCATCCACTTTAATTCAGCCCGTCCCTAGCCTTCTTGAGAGATAACCTGCCCAATGGAAAGTCTTGCTGAGTCATTGTAAATGGAGGTCTGGTTATGCACTAGCCCAGAAGGGCACCTGCTGGTGCCTTTTGCCTAGGGACATTGCCTTGGTGAAAAGAAGACAGGAAATTAAACCAAATATTTACAGTTCATTTTTTGGCTCACTGCAATGTACAGTAGACTGAAGTGAAATCTGCTGACCAATCATGAATCACTAGGAGACCATTCAGAGGACATTCATCATTTAAGGAAGGAAAAAAAAGTCTTAGAAGTTGAATGGCTTCTGCATTTAATGGCAATGTTGATGAGGCACCATCACTTGTGTAAGAAGCTCAATTCATTATTAATAATGCCTTTCATTTTTATAGTGCCTCCCATCCAAACAGATCTCAAAACCCTTTACTCATAGGACAGGACTAAGACTTTTGGGCTTAGTCTTGTGCCTGGTGATCAAAGTCTGACCCATGCAATCAGCATCAGGCCGTCCATTATGCACATAGCCAGGAATGTGTTTGTGACTGCTCCATTTCAAGCTTGGCCTTTTTTCACCTCATTTCACCTCAACTGTGCATGCACCGAGGAGGCAGGCTGAACAGCAGAAACGAGAAAGAAACACCTCCCACAACTGTTATCTGCAAATGAAGCTTCTCTAATATTTATCAGCAATTAGAACTAAGTTTGTTGTGTGGCTGATAGGGAAGCCTAGGAGAGAAGCCTAAAACATATTGGTATTTTATGCACATTTTGAATTCTAAAAGGTTATTGTGGTAGAACATGGAAATTCTTCAGCTCTTAAAGGACATTCCATTTTAAATAAAGATAAGAATAGGAAACATACCAGTTTAATTTCAGGGAATGTTGACAAATGTGCATTGGTCTGGACTCTTTTCTGAACTATCTGGGCTCTCTAACATGGAGCTGGGGAAGAGGACTGGATGAACACAGCCTGAGGGCCAACCAGGAAGCCCATTCTTTTTGACAGATGAAAACATTTGCTGTTAGTTAACCCTGTAAAGAAAGAAGCAAAGAGTGACTCACGCAGGAGAAGCCGCGGGAAACCAGAGGGCACCTCACTGATTCTCTCAGAGAACATTCATTAAACTGCTGGTCTAGCGGCAACTGAGGATCTGGAAATTTCACAGCCAAGTGTGTTCTGAAGTTCTGCACCACTGTTCGGTAGTGAAATGCACTGATGCCAATCAAGAACGGTTCTACAATGCTTTTTTTATTCTTCCTTTAATGCGATCTACTGCGGAGTCTCGTAATTTCTGTTACTAATTAAAATCTGCAGTAACAATTGCCTGTGCCTGCCCATCGTGGAAGGAGACATCAACCACTGAGTGCGTCTCCCATATGTACAGAGACACAGCGAAAGAGAGGTTTATTTTTGGAGAAAAGTGCTAAACTGGTTACATCCTTGTTATCGGCAATACCGTTCATTCCGCAAGGGCCCACGTGGTGCGAAGCTGCAGCAGGAGCCGCGGTTTCCAGGAAGATCCAGGACAGCTAGAAAGTAAAAGGGTGGGGCGGGGTTTTCCAGCTCCTGTTATGAAGGCTCTGGACGCACACATGAGAGCCTGCTAGTTATTTAAAGGCAGAGGCTACCAGAGGATAACATACAAAGGGAGGGAAAGGAAAAAACGAGGAGGGATTATAATTACTGCCAATTATATTGTTTTTCTCCCTCCTGCTAAAAAAAGCAGCAAGTTCTTAAAAATGCCAGAAGAGTGGAAACGTTCAAGGCCAGAGAGCAGCTGTGGAGGTTTTTTAAGCTACACCCCCACCCTCCCCCCAACCTCACCCCCTACACACACACACAGTGACTCAGAAGAACAGAGAATAGTTTTTTACTCTGGGATTGATTTAGGCATTCCAGTTCTGGAGCGACCCAGCCTATTACCCTACAGGATTACATAAAAGAGGCAGTTAAACACAGCAGTCAAAAGGTCACTCATTACTTATCTGCACACGCCATCTGGACTGTGTTTACGAGCTTTCAACGTCACTGCTCAAGCGATTAGAAGTGAGATCCAGTCAGTGCTGGGTGACTCTTCTGCTCAGCGCCGTCTCGCTGCGTCAGCGACACGAGGCCTGGAAGAGCAGGCTGGGAGCTCACAGCAGAGCTACAGGACACTGGGCTGCAGGATTGGCCCACACCTCTCTAAACTGGCAAGACTGGAACAGTACCCACTCTGACTGGCCGGCCAGAGATGCCATAACTGCTTCTGTAACCAAGCACTTGTCCATAGAACAGATGTCCTTCCATTCGGACAGTCTTTCTGCTCTGTCAGGTGTTTTCCTGTGCTTTATTCACAAAAACACAAAACAAAGCAGCACCCTGCCAAGCCCTAAGAAAACAGCTCACTGGCTGAGTTTCTGTCCAGGGTGAGAGGCACCGAGGGGAAACAAACCCTCTCAGTCTTTCTCTTACCTCTCAGTATGGAATGAACCTCATCGTGTCTGTAGTATAATACCCAGAATGCTCTTACTTGTGTGCAGGAGTCTTCAGGCAATGTATAACAGTGCTTCCCTAACTGTGTGCTGTGACCCATTAGTCTGCCAGGGAAAGGTCACGGACGTGACATGGAAAAAGAAGAAGTTGCGTTTAACAAGTGTGGATCTGGAGTTTTGTGTAGCTCCTTCCAGCATTAAACCAAAAATTAAACTGCTCTGCTCGTTTAAACAAGCTCAAATCTCACATAGACGTTCCAGTCACATGAAGTGAGGCTTCTCAGCAAAACTCTAGTCTATGTTTCAGTTTGAAATAAAAAATATTTCTTGCAGGAGTAGTGCTGATTTCAAAATATCCAGTCGATTCCTACCTTGCAGTGTGGTGAGGGCTTAATTAATCTCTCACAATCACATCAGACTGGTCCATATTGTCCCCACACCCAGCTCTATACAACAAAGCAGTCTGGACACTGCTCTGGTGGGTACAGCATGGGGGAGACTGGGCTTGGGTTGTAAAAAATAACAAGAGAAAAAATATAAGATCGGGAAAAATCAATCACAATGTCTTGTGCCTCTTGTTCTGAGTTTTAAATACTTTTCCACATGTGCCCTCTAAAGGACTTTTCTACAAAGGATCTCACAAGACACATAGGTTAGCTTCATTTTTTAGAAACCTACTCAGGTATTTGTTAAATAAAATGTAAGCTACACATAAGTAATTAACTTAACAAAACTGGCCCTAATGCAATGTGCTAGACACTGTTATCAACATTTCTAAAGGCCGTTTTTTTTTTCAGAGGGTAACAACATTTTGCAAGTTCTTTGTCAAATCTTGCAGAGGGAGTCTGTGGAATCTAACCAGGCCAGCGCTGCTGTCATGTTGGAAGACTGGAAGAGTGGCATCTGTGTGCTCTGTGATGCCCTTCTCTCACTGCGCAGCTCCAGGCACCACAGGGACCCGTGCAAAGCCAGGAGGAGACAGGCTGGGTATGGAGCTGACGGCAGCCTGGGCACAGAGGCACAGCCCAGCCTGCATAATCCGACACCCCTGTCCCCTCACACTCCCACGATTCACACTAATCCCCTTCATCACTCCTTTATTTTTAAACCAGTTGTAGCTATAAAATAGACAGCTAATAAAGTAATAGGATTGCGAGTGAAAAAAGGGCTGTAAAGAGCAGGGTTAAGTCCAGGGGAGGGGGCAGAGGTTGGGGTATAAAAAGAGGTGACAAGAGGCTCTCAGGGCAGACGGCACATCACTGAAGGATTACAGCACAGTCAGCAGCGGGACCGCAGGACAGGCTCACACAGCACCAGGTAACTCTGTGGGGTCTCTCCTGCCCCCATCTGTCTGCCTGTCCGTCCATCTGTCTTTCCTCCTGCCTGTTTGCCTGTCTGATTGCCTGCCTGTGCATCTGTCTGTCTTTCCTCATGCCTGTTTGTGCATCTGTCTGTCTTTCCATCTGTCTTTCCTCCTGCCTGTTTGTGCATCTGTCTGTCTTTCCATCTGTCTTCCCTCCTGCCTGTTTGTCTGTCACGTTGTCTTGATCCTCTGGAAGTGATGGAGGGTTTAGAACTGAAACAGACCTGGCTCCTGTTTGTGATCTAAGCGTGTGAATTTTATCATACGTTAAAGAGCTCTGAAACCGGTTTCCTAAAGATGCATGAAGGCCAAGTGTGGCAGCATTCCGATGGGCAGGGTAGCAAACCCCAGTCAAGTGACATTCCACAAAATCCTGCCAAAGCCTGCCTTTACTGTACGGGACCAATCACAACAGTGACCTGAAGGCAAAAAGATATTCAGTCTTGCTTTCCTGTATTCTTGCCTTCACTGCTGTAAACATACAAGTTTGGGCTGTCTGTGGGCAAGAGCAAGATCCTTGCCAATGAGTTTCTAAATGCAGGGTTTCACTTCAGGTTAGTCGAACTGCAGCTCGTGGTTTCTGAAGCACATTTACAGAAGGCATACAATACACCAAGCAGCAATATTAAGTTGAAAAGGCTTGTTTCATATGTATAAAACTCAAAAGCATATTATAGAGTCTGAAAGTCTTACGCTTCTAGAACAATATGTGGACCATCTACTGTGTGGGTCACAAATTACCTTTGGAAAACTGCAACTGTATTGATGCAGAAAACACACTGTGGTCAATTGCGCTCATCAAAGATGCTTCATTTTTATTTTATGAGCTGTTCATTTTTGCTGGTGCTTGCAGTTGTAACAGTATAACAGAGATCACATTGTGCCTACAGGCTTGAGGAGAGACTGATCTCTAAAAACCTGCTAGGTGATAGATTGTGCTTCTGAATGACTGACAGTCCACATAGTCTGTGAAAGGCAGGAATTTGTTTTTAAAGCCTTCTGATCAGATACTCCACCTCAAAGCAGAAATCATACTGTACACAGATTTGTCAGAATGAAGGTGATCAATATGTTGGGCATGTAGTAACAGTTTGTTAACATGGAAACCGTTGAGAAAGAGTTGTGAAAGCTCTCCTAAAATTTTATTTTAGTTTTCCATAGGCTTTTTTTGCAGTTCAGTTGATTAAGTGATTGGCTGCTGACAGCTATGCCCTGACAAAATTATGTTAATTTATAATTTAGTAGGATTTCACAATGGTTTGCTACAATCTTTGATTTTACCATTCTATACTAGAGTAAACATAAATAAGTTAAAATATACCAAACATACAAGTTTATTGTAAGATACTGAATTAGCATTATTTGTCCATGTCAGCTATACAATTCATGCCTCAGTTATCACAGATCATCTTCAATTCTAGATCACAGAAGAGGGAAGTGTTTTGTTGTTACTGTATTTCTACTGTTAAATTGCTTTACGACAGCAGAGTCAGACCTGTGTCCGCAATCCACTTCTTTAATAATAAACCTGTGAGAAGTATTTGCTTTACTGAAATTAAGCAGCTGTTTATATAAAATGAATCTATTTCTGCCATTTGAGTTCTGTCCCGGCTTCTTTGCATTTGCCTTCATATCCATTGTGCCTGTTGGTACCTTTGGTTGACACCTAAGAAGATGAACTCTTCATGAGCTTCTCAGGCAGCACACTGATGGCTGAGAGGGAGTACCCTGCTGCTAATAATCATCATTTGTCCCTGACAGGTCTGCAGAAGGTCTCTGTTTTTCCAGTTCACCTGTGGAGCACTTTACCCCAATTAGCCCAGATCTCTAACTAACTACTGAGTCATGGCCTGCACAATTTCACCTCCCTCATGCTCGAGCTCTGCAGAGGAAATAGCTTTTCTTTTGTCATGCCCCAGCAGTGAGGGTTACTGACAGCTCACACCAAGAAAGTCAAATGCAAACATCATGGTTTGTGATGTCTTAGCGTGACGCAGCTCCTGAGGCTCGGTGCAGCTGTTGTTTGCCTTGCCTTGATCGAGGGCTCAGGATGACTGTGATCAACACATCCCCCAGTAGCACACTCAGAGGATGTATGTTTACTATATTAAAAGGGGGAAAGCAGCAGCCATTTGCAAAGGCACACCTATTCCTCATTTGAGTTCAAACCTGGTGCAATTTACATCCCTGTCAGACAAACCTAACCATTATTTAATTGGCAATGTGTCTACAAATGGTAACAGTGGGCAGACTATGCCTTGATGTAGCGATAGTCCTCTGGAAACACGCAAGGCGTCCAGCAGCAGGCCCTGCGGACAGTGCGGCGCTGTGTTTGGAAGGGAGACCCGGGGTGTGCTGTCCAGAAACCCACCTCTCCCAGGACGTTCTGATGGCAGAGCAGATGGAGCTCATTGCCAGCCTGCGTGATGGAGAGCCGCGGCGTTCCCAGGCTGGCTGCTCCGCAAGCGCTTTCATGGGGATGAGCAGATGGGAAGATCTGAGCGGAGCTAATCCCTGGCTGAGCGTGTTGCTTAGATTAGGGGAATAAAATAAAATCCACCAAGACACTAATCTCATCTGCTCAGATGAACTCCTTCAGATTTGGCTTGGCAATTATAGCAGGGCTACAGCACGCTGGGATGCCCAGGGTCTGAGACTCCGACAGTGACAGAGCATGCTCCTTGGAATCTCACTACAATCCCAGTTAAAGAGGCATGGTGCTCTCCATTGTAGTCCCTGGCTGCTTTCAGCTCTGTACCCAGGCAGGCTGATTCCACAGTAAAACCGAAAAGCACACTCCCCCAACACAGGGCAGGACTGCACCATCATTCCCTCTTGTAGGACAAGCTTCATCTCCCCAGGAGAAATGCACTCTCTTCCTTTTCTTCGTTCAGTATTAACTGACTCAGGTCACTTGATAAACAAATATCCTTGGAGTGTAAACATAAGGCAGCCCTCTGAATCAGTAGCAGTCATAAGCAAAAAAACACTGCAGAGGGACAATTAAATCTGCAAACAGTGAGTTTTGTAGAGCATTCATTATTATTACACTTTGGAGCAAAGTCAAATGGTTCCGATTTTTTTAGCTCTTACATCCTCTCTTGAACAGATAGTTTAACGGAGTATTTTGGTATCAGGGAATACAGCAGTTGAATGTGATAAGTGGGATATTTCAGTGCTGCTGATGCAAATCGGCCCCCAAAATATTGCATTAGTCACTTTACTCTGCTGCTTTCACCGGTGTGATTCCTGTGGCTTGTGCTGTACTGAAATTGTCTTTTTGTTTCCTCACACAGAACAGACACCGAACACAGAAATGCCCGGAAAGTAAGTACATATCGCTCTGTTTCACACTGTGAAGTGGTTAGTGATGGTTTATTTTATGTGCTGTAGATTAGCAGCCCAAAATAATTTTTCACTTCCTCATTCTATTGAAAAATGCATTTTGTTCTACAGTTCTTGACAAATATGTCAGTAAACAGATACCAGAGCACTAAGGTCACAACACTTGTATTTTGTGTCTGCTTTCATTCTGTAACCCGAATACACTAAATTCACAAATCAGCTAACTGTAGTACATCACTACAAAACATCACTGTTAGTATTCATTATTAGTATTGTATTGGTCTAATATTAGTAGTAGCAGTAGTGTATTTATTATTTTTGTTATTGCTGCAAATAACATTTTCATTACATTAAAGGTCATCAGCTTAGTGCAATGATCGGTATTCTGAAATATACTGTTTTATTATTATCAAACTCAACACAGAGTGTTTGTCATCCAATCTGTTTGGAGTTGCACAAGCCAAGACAGTTCACTCTTGAATTAAGTTTCAATACGGAAACCCACCACAAGATGTAGCAGCAGCCACAGTTCAATAGCTGCTCAGCCCACATAGTCTGTGAAAGGCAGGAATTTGTTTTTAAAATTTAAAAGCATTATTGATGCTAAATATCAGGCTGGAATATCATCTTAAGTAGTGACTGGAATTTGTAAAGCCATAAAGCTGGGATCTTAGCAGCACTGAAAATATCCCTTCTCTAAAGACACTGGCAGTGAATTGTGGGAAATAAAGAACACTCCAAAGTGTTACCAGAGTTATTTGTATATTTGTTTGTTTTGTTTCTGTCTTATGCTGTATGTGCTTTAGCTACTTTAAGCAGCACCAACAGTAGAGTAAGGCAAAGTCCTTCAACAGAAAGATGGGTTGATAGTAAACTCTGTCCACAGAGCTAACTGTGCTCTGCACCAGATAGTGGTCACCAAAAGGCCAATGATTTGTGACTGGAGAGGATAAATCCAATCCAGAGCACTTCAGGGCCAGACAGGGCCATGTTTGTAGCAGCTGTATGTCTCCACATGGTCGCTATAAATAAGACTGGATGCACATCAAGTGTATTTCTGAGCTCCTGAAGATGGATTAGTAGAAGCAGATCAAGAGAGTTAGATAACAGCTCAAGTTAAGTATCACAAGTGAAGGAGCTAATCTGGAAACACAAACAACCAACCTAAGTGTGTCCCTGCCTGTGCTCTCTTCACAGGGTCTTTAAGAAAACCAGCCCCAATGGGAAGGTAAGAAGGCCCCTGCTTTTACTGAGGCTATTCAACAGTACATGTACTGTATAATCTAGGTTATAAGACTATTGCACAAATGGAACCATGCAACTGTAGTACCACAGTAAGAAACACTTTTCTCACAGCATTCATTCGCAGACTTGCTAGTCAGCTCAATTAGTGTATTGTGCAGTCTGTCCTTACCTCCTCTTCATCTCCCAGCTCTCTCTGTACCTGGGGAAGAGAGACTTTGTGGATCATGTGGACTCTGTGGACCCAGTGGGTAAGTGCAAGTCCCTCCTGCTTCCTCTGTTTGCCTCCTCTGCTTTCTGTGACCTGCTGTATTTTTGTTTTGTTTTTTTTGGTGAATTGCTTTGAGCTGCTCACTCACAGCGATAAGGTTCCCTGTAAAATCAAACTCAAGTGAGTGACTGGATAAGACTGCAATTGGCTGAATTGGGCCAAGAGGGCTGATCGCCTAATGGGCAGATAACAGAGTTTTGGGTCCAGTTTCTGTTCTCTCACTTACATTCTCATCAGGCCACAGGAAGTGCATTGAGCTCAATGCTCTCCCTGCTGTTCCCTTCTGCTGGTGAATGGGATGGCTTACTCATACCAGACGAGATTTACATTGCAAAATACAACCTTCACTTCCAGCGTCTCTGAAACAATACTCTAATAACACTGGCAGAACATGTGCTCCCAACAGGCTCCGAAAACAAGAGCAAGTAAGAAAACATACATGCCACTCAAAGCACTAAGTCAAAGTCTCTTCCTTCGACAATGTAATATTGCACCATAATAATCACATATTGAGTATATTTTCAAGAGCAGGTTACATTAACACTGATAGGCACTAAGAGCTTTATTTTTATCATTCTTTTAAATATTAATGTTGTAGTACGGTAAAACAATTACAGTGCCTTGTAATTAAGTACAAGATGGCTGCTTATTTAATGATTGCTTTGCTTACTGTGGAAATGACACAGGCATCTGCAGGCTAAGCCACAGGTCACCAGACAGCTTGTGATAAAGCCCCTAAAGCCCTTTCTGGCAATAGGATGTTATAGGAAAGGTTTGGACAAGGGTATGGCTTCAGATCCCAGAGCTTCAGTGTTGTGTCCTACCTGCATGTAACTTCTCTCTCTTCCCCAACAGATGGAGTGGTCCTTGTGGATCCTGAATATCTTGGGGACAGGAAAGGTACTGTGCCTTTGGAATTGGCGCTTTGTTGGGTATGCTCTTGAGAAAGGCGGGTTGAATTCTACACACCACTGGCACATTTTACCAAACGGTGGAAGGAGAGGCACTTTTCTTGATATAGACAGCAGGAAGAAACAGACTTCCTCAAGGTGTAATTGAAACTGCTTGCGCATGAGTGTCGAATGGGCTGGGTGGCTGGGGACTGAAAGCGTCTGCAGTACAGAATGGGACAGCGGCTCTCCTGCTGCAGGTCAGTAACCCTGTCCCCCTGGTCTCTGTACAGCCTACGTGACGATGGCCTGTGCCTTCCGCTACGGCCGAGACGACCTGGACGTGATTGGGCTGTCATTCAGGAAGGACATCTACCTGGCCACCCTCCAGATCTACCCCCCCGAGGGTGGAGAGAAGCCCCCCAACACCCCCATGCAGGAGCAGCTGCTGAAGAAGCTGGGAGCAAATGCCTACCCTTTCCATTTCGAGGTAGATAATATCTCACTTCCACAGTCCTGCCTCTCTCACACTTCCTCTTCCTCTCTGCCTCTCGCTGGAGAGCTGTCAAGCACAGA